AACTACCCATGAACCTCCAAGCAAAAGACGTTTGGACCAAGGCCAAGCCAGCTTGGTCCACGCCGTGCCAAAGTTGGCACCTGCTCTGCAAAACTCGGATGGGCTACGGTCGCGGTTTTAGAGTTTAGGGTTTAGGACTTAGGGGCTTCGTGTTTCGGGTTTAGCGTTGTAGTGACTAAGAGTTTAGGGGTTGAAGGTTTTAGGGTTGTGGGTTTTGTAGCGTTTAACAGGGTTTAGGGTTTAAAGGTGGGTAGTAGCCAAGGCTTCTGGAAAGGGTACTTGATCTGGCCAGGGAGGGTAGATGGCTAGGGTTTCCGCAGCGGTTTACAGTTTAGGGTGTTTACAAGAGGTTCCAGAAAGAAGGGGATGCATGATGGTTTCATAGTGGTTTGGGGGTTTAGAGGGGTGATGATTTGGGAGGGTGGAGGAGTTGGAAGTAGACTGGCGTTTAGGGATTGCCCTTCAAATAGGTGGACACCTTCGAACCCTGGCCCTGCTGCGGGGTTTGTGCGCCATGACCGTCGACTGGCATCAGTGGTACAAGGAGGCATGTAAGCTCTCCCGAACCGACTTTCAAAAGCTGGTGGACCACGTCGCACCTAAGCTTTCGGGCCAAAGCCATGGCGGACCGGCGGCAGTTTTACCGTGAGGTGCTCAGATTGCCGCCGAAAGAGTTTGACGCCCTGGTGCAGCATATGGGTAGTTCTCTAAATTAGGGTCCCTTTTGGGGGTCCTTGTTATAAGGGTGCCGTGCTATATTGGGGACCCCAAAAAGGGACCCTCATTTCGGGAACTGCCCATATGGCGCTGCTCTTGGAGGCTTCGGTGCCTTCTCGCGGAATCGGCTTGGCGAATGCGGGCACGGAGTGCAGGACAATAAGCGGCACATGGGGTTCCAGGTGGATCCTATTACGGCCCCTGTTCGGGCCCGTATTCAATCGCCACGTCCTCTTTGAGTTGAGCTGGGCAAACGAAGGGGTCGGAGACTATGTAGGGATATAGCTGCTGTCCTTCGAAAAGCATCTTGTAACATATCGCGAAACCATCTTCTACTGAGTAAGGCCTCTATACAGGGGCTTCGAAGGGGGATTTGACAAGGGCATACATGAGATTTACAGGATTTAGGGCTTTGGTGTAAATCAACCTGATTATGACTGCACTTGCAACCCGCTCCTACCCTGCATACCGATCTAAGTACCCTAAAAGACAAACAAGAACACAGACCCTCAAATGAAGTAGTTTCACTTGCACGAGTTGACGTTTTGGTTCTACGAGGGGTTTGGCAGCAACACAGTCAGCATCCGAATCAAATGAGGGCAACATTGTATAGCTTTGGTTAACTGTATCATCCTCAAAGATGCCATGACTTGGTGGTGGAACGAGTGGGATTGGGATACTACAATCCCTATTTAGTCCCAAACGTGAGCCTTTACTTCCTGTAAGGTACTGGACAAGTCAGATGAACTGTAGGACCTTTCGACGGATGGCGACAAAGCAAAACAGTACGGTTGAGAACTACGACCTAGTAGATATTGTTACGCACCTAGACATTTCGGGAGCAGCTATTCGCGCAACATGGAGGCAGTGAGTTTCGAAAGAAGCCCGAAGCCGAAATCGGATGGACAACAATCATGTCTCCCGCCCTCGTGCACTTTCCCGGAACCCCCAAACCCCAACCACCAGCCCTTCAAAAAGCACGGTCCCTATCCGTTAAGCCATCTGAGGTCGCTCAGTGCGGTTCCGCCGGCGCATCTTGGCTTGGCAATTCTGTCAGGGCGCTCTGTCGTTGGGACGGATGACAGTTTAGGCTTCTTTGGGTTCCTCGAGGATTAGACTTTCGGGTCTAGTGCTCTTTGGGGGGGGGTTTGAGTTTAGGTTTAAGACTTAGAGAGCTGGAGGTGATCAAAGAGAGGTTGGCGTCCTTCGCCAGTACTCCAGGTGCTGCCGAGAGGTATCCGGCTTTAACCCCATTCTATCGGGAACTAGAACGCGAGGAAATGGTGCCAGCGTGTGGTGGTTCCACTACTGGACCCCACGCGATCATCACCGAATACTTGGAGATGATCCGCCCGACCGAGAGTGTGGGGACCCTGACAGCCAACCTTAAAACGTGCAGCTGCAGCAAGCCGCACCAGCTCGTCGCAACTCATTACGCAAGTATAGGAAGACTCGTCGTCATCATCTTCATCATCAGTAACAGCTTCACCATCACCGCTACAATCGGCAGAAGCGCCAGGGTGATCACGACCCTTGCTTTTGAGCGTCATAACAGCATTACTTTCATGCAAAAGCTGGCAGTTCAACGCGACACTGTGTCATGCCGTCATACAAGTTCACCCTACGAGGCGGCCACCGGCACCGTGGGGATACAATGATCCCTATGCGCGCGACACCTGGAATTGAGGGGTAGCGTCAGCTACAGCCGCAGTCCTTGAAGGTGTTATCAACGAAGGTTTCCGTTTGGGTGTGTGTATAAATATATACACATATAGTAAAGATATGTATATACATATATCGTTATACATTTGTTTGTGTGACTTGTTTGTTTATGAATGCTGGGGTACCACTGTGTAGAGCACTATACTCTGATCCATTCTTTCTGAAGCTCGGGGTCAATAAGAGCAGCATGCATGGTCAAGGCCGGTGTCGTCCTATCACACCGTGGGCAGCACCAGCATAATAGTGCTGTTGAGCGCGTTTCAGCATCGGCGTGTGGTAATGTTCCTGCTCCTTCTACTTCCCCTTTTTTCACCTCCCATGCGCTTACTTGCAAATGTTGTTCATGCACATTTTCGCTGCACTCATATTCTCACTAGGTACAGCTCCATTGCATACCATACTTGCTTCAATACGGTTTATTTGTGGCATACGTCCTTCGAAACTCGCAACTCCCAAGTGGCCCGAAACTGCTTTCAAAGCCTACGGAGCCTCGCCAAATCCAAGCATCCTGAAGCCTTCAGATCCTGCAAACGCGAAACACGCACCCCCTTGAAGCCCACCTTGGTCCCTAAACCCTAAACCCTAAACCCTACAAACCCTTTTATATAGGTCCGAACCTCGGTTTTGGATGAAAACACCAAGCCAATGCACACCCTAAACCCCCGGAGCCGTGCATGAAACCCGTGGTGAGGATGCGACCTCCTGGTCCCTGGGCCCCACCTTGGCGAGGAACGGGGCCTTTTTTTGTGACTCTGGGAGGCTTGTTAGGGGGTTGTTTTGTTTTTTGTTTTTAAGTTTTATCGGGAGGTTTGGTGGTTGTTTTTGGAGGGTGTTGGGGGCTTTCTGTAAGATTTTCTGTTGTGGTAGGGAGGGGGGGGGGGGTCCACCTAAAGTAGGGATCCAGGTAAGAAGGATCCCACACTCAAAAAGGGTTTGTATTTGGCTTGTACAAAGGGTTTTCAATAGGTCTTCTAGTAGTGGTTGCCCCGAAGACACCAGAACCCCTGAGATCCTGGAGACTTTCGGGTGTGAGGCTCTATTGTTTTGGGGGTTCGGGGGTTACATATATATATATACATACATATACATATACATATACATTTACATATACATATATATACACACACACACACACATGTACATGCATACACATGCATATACATACATATACATACATATACATACATATACATACATATACATACATATACATACATATACATACATGTACGTACATATACCTACATAAACATTCATATACATACATATACATTCATATACATGCATATACAAACATATACAAACATATACATACATACATACATACATACATACATACATACATACGTACGTACGTACATACATACATACATACATACATACATACATACGTACATACATACATCATACATACATACCTACATACATACCTACATACATACATACATACATACATACATACATACATACATACATGCACCCGCACATCTGTGTACGTGTACGAGAATATATATATATATATAATACAGATATGTATACACACATGACATACACATGCACATACGAACGTACACACGTATGTATAGTTTAGGGTTTTCGACTTCAGCGATGGGGAGTTTTCTTGAGGTGTTGGGTTTTACCAATTGGCCTTAGAGCGATGTGCTGGTTTTTTTTGAAATTTAGGTTTTGGGGTGCAGGGCTTAAGGCTTAAGGCTGATAGGGTTTCGCAATTAGGATTCGGGGTTGAGAGTGGTCAACGGCTTTACGCGGCTTTACCCTACGTAGAGGTGCAAGAAGTGTGGTAGGGTTGGGTGTGAGGTTTTGAGGTGGTTCAGAGTTTGGGAATCCGGGTGGATCCTTTGAGGTTTCCGGGTTGAGTGTCTAGTTGCACTAGTTTTGGGGCTCAGCTGTTTTGCAGTTCGAGCTTTTTGGGCCGAGTCTGGGTTTTGAAGTTCTGAGTATTAGAGGAGGGTCTGTTATGGATTTGCACCTAAACCCGAAACCCTATAAACCCTAACTTTTCTTCCGGCGAGCAGCTACAGAGCGGTTCAGCTGCGGGTTTCGGGCTCGGGGCTGAACTAGAGAGAGCGCTTCAGAGAATTACCAAGACAGGGACCCTACTTGCTCTTTCCTCTTCTTGTACGTAAACCTGCTATGAGCAGGAGTCTACCCCGAAACCCTGCACCCCGAAGCCCCACCACAGCTTTTGCCCAGACCCCCTAGACCCTAAACCCACGGTCGTAAATCCAGCTGTGTCATACCATGTCATAACGCTGACATTGGTCTAAACAAGCAGCTGCCAGCCTCAACCCAAAAAACCAGGCAAACAAAATCTAAGTCCTGAACCCTAAACTGTAAAATCCTGAATCCGAAACCTTGGAACCCACAATCCTAGACCTAAACCCCAGGCCCTAAGCCCCAGTCCTCACGCAGCACGAGACATCAAGACCCTGTAAATGGGTGGTTGTCAAAATTATGGTCCCTTTTTGGGTCCTTAGTATAATACGGCACCTATTATTTAGGGTACCCCAAAAGGGACCATAATTTTGACACCCTAAACCCTAAACCCTAAAGCCTAAACCCTAAACCCTAAACCCTAAACCCTAATCTAAAGCCCTCGAGCCCTGAGTCGACTGTGCAGGTGAAGCTACCACCTGTGCAGCATTCGATTAGCGTCCGGGCCCTTTTTCGGAGCTTAACGTCGGGGCCGAAAGAATTACCAACACTATTTTGGGGGTGATTTTTTTTTATAATTATAGTAATATCATAGTCTAATAGGCCCCCCCTATTCTAATTCTTGAGGGGCCTTTAGGGCCTTTGGGTTTAGGGTTTAGGGTTTAGGGTTTAGGGTTTAGGGTTTAGGGTTTAGTTTAGGAAGGTCTTGGGTTCGAGGGTTTGGGGCTGGTCTTTTTGCAGAGGACTGGTCTACGGTACCAGGCCTGGAGACTGTCGGGCTGTGGGAAGTGGGAGCTGAGCCCTAAACACGTAAAGCCCTAAACCCCAAGACCCTAAGCCCTAAACCCCCCTAAACCCCTAAACCCTGAACCCTAAACCCTAAACCCCTAACCCCTGAACCTAAACCCCTAAACCCCGAAACCCTGAACCCTAAACCCTAAACCCGAAACAGTTAAACCCTAAACCCCAAGACCCTAAACCACTAAACCCTGAAAAGGCACCTAAATAAGGAACCCCGATCCTCCCAAGTAGGTCGTCTTTTCGGCTCCTTGCCGCCTGAGTTTGCACGCAGGGACCTGACAGCTAAGTTTTTTCTGTTTTTGATCTCGATGCAAATACCTTGGCGTCTTATTATTATTATTATCTTTATTATTATTATTATTATTATTTTTTATAATATATATATATATATATTTGTATACATACAATATTAGGATATATGATAGGAAAGTAGAGTCTGCCTCACACCTCTATTCCAATACTCGGGCCCAAAACAAAGCTGCAAAACAGTCATCGAATTCCTTAATCCTAAATCCGGAATCCTCATCTACCACTGGCCGTAGGATTGCCTTCGGGAGTCTTGCGGGTGATTCTAGAAGGGTCGCTGCGAGAAGCCCCAGTATCCGCAGCAAGGAGAGTTTGGAGACACCCTTTATAGTTACCCTTGAAGTACCTCGTTATAGCAACCCAACCCGTTTAGCAACCGCTCCAAGGAACCTGATCCCCACCCCGAATCCTGGAGAAAAGCCCCAAACCGGCTCCAAACTGCAGACCCTCAGCCCCGAATACACACAGGCCCCAACCCCGTAAATGCCTTAAAGTCTCAGAGCACCCTTATTGTTAGACTACCCTTGTCAATTCCTGTGAGCGCATAGAACAACCTCGCATAAAACCTCCCGTAAGCCCTCGGAAACCCCCGAAACCTTTCGCACGCCGCTGTCGAGGAAGTGCTGGCTGCTTTCGAAGGGCTGAACAAGACGCACGTCGTTGGGGCTCAGCTCAAGTGTTGTTTTCGAGTTGGGGTCTTTTGGGGATGGCACAAGGGTCGTGGTCTCACAGGGCTCCGGGGGAGTGTTGGGTCTGTAGAGCTTCCGAGGGCCCAGGACGTGGGTGGGAGGCTTGGCAATTTGTAAAGGGGCGCATGGTAAGTTGAAATTGGCCCCCTACTGGCACTATGTTCAACACACTAAACTCCCTAAACCCTAAACCCTACCTTAACCTACCAAAACCTACTTTTTTGTAGGGCCGCTATAAATTCCCTAGTAGGGTTTACAAAAAAAAAAACCTACAAAACAGTAGGTTTTGGTAGGTTAAGGTAAGCCTTAAACACTTCAGGTCAAGAAGCCCATGGTCCCCCAGATCGGCGTTGCGGCGGCGGTGCGGAAGGACCGGAAGTGCACACCTCGGTCAGAGGGCAGAAAGTGGTTTAGGGTTTAGGGTTTAGGGTTTAGGGTTTAGGGTTTGGGAGGGAGTCTCGTCAACATGGCAGGCCTGTAAGTCCCCATGTAGTTTTTTAAATTTTCTTTAGCATACACACAGACAGATAGGTAGATCGGTAGATAGGCAGCTGCGTAGATCGGTAGATAGGTAGACACGTAGATGGGTTCATGGGTAGATAGGTACATATCTAGATGGACAGAGAGAGATAGACAGATAGATAGATCGATGGATCGATAGATCGATGGATCGATAGATCGGAAGATCGATAGATCGGACGATCGACAGTGAGATACATCGTTAGATGAATGGACAGACAGATAGATGGATGGATAGATGCATATATAGACGCAGATAGATACATCTCCTTGACCGGCAGACATGACAAGACTTGTTCGTCATGCCCAGCTCAGCACTATGCCGCCAAGAGACGCCATGCATTCGGAGCCTTTTACATCCGAGCGAGCAATGCATAGTGGGTCTCTAGTGTCCCCAGATCCGAACTCCGTCCGTCAAAGGAAAGTTGCATGACCCCCAGATTGCAAGTCTCTTGGACTCAGCTTGCAAGTTGGCTTGTGCTGTGCCGAGAAGTTCGCAGAATGTCTGCCGCATCTCAGATGTGACATTGCCTGCTGACCTATGTGGGCACCTCCTGCGTGGGCACGGGAAACATGGTCGGTGCCGGACGCCCCATGCAACCAAGACGCCACGTAGCACCACGCCGCCCCCGCTCCGCCCCACCCTGCATCATTGGTCACCACAAGTTCTTGGCTCCAATTTGTGACCAGCGTCTTACAGCGGCCAATCGCCGATATACCCCAGTACTGACAAATATATAGCAAATATAGCTAAAAACGAGCATTCACAGAGGAAAACTTTCCAAATGGTTGTATATTGCATAATATTCATGAACTTGTTCCACATTATTGTCCAGATTAGCGGCTCATCTGAGGAGTCATAGGGATAACCTTAGACTAAACCCTAAGCCCTATATAAACCGAACCCTAAACCCTAAACCCTAAACCCTAAACCCTAAACCCTAAACCCTAAACCAAACCCTAAACCCGAA